GAGGCGGGGAAAGGGGGCGAGGGTGGACGGGAGGGGGGAGGCAACACTCGGTCTTCGCGCTCGCGCCTCGCGCCGCCGCCGTCGGACCGGCCGACCAAACGCTGCCTGACAGCGGACCAGAAAACACACATACTACACTCGGCGGGCGGGCGTCGGTCGCAGGCGTCGCGGTGGCTCGGCACGACGCGGCACGCGCACGCACGCACGCGCGCACGCACGAACCAGACGCGCGGTAGTGGTTCGGCGTGCACACATCGAGTGTTAGTGCAGCAGTACCATCAACCCTGAGAAAATCCCCCAGTGTGGCGTGACAGTGTTGCAGTGCTTTAGTATTTTCCCGAAAAAAAAATACAACAAAAAGAAAAACAAACAGAAGAAAATAAACAGTTTTGAAATACACCACGAATTTGGAATATTGTTAAATATTTGAGAAAAAGTGCAGTGTTTCAGTGAATTGTGGCCCAGTGATCGGTGTCAGTGCAGTGTTTAATTTGAAGAAAAAAGGCGTGTGTCAGTTCGGACCAGCAAACTTCCACTGTAAGTAGATATTTGGAATCGACGTGTGTAGGGGATAGGGGTTGACCGCATTTTTTAAAAATGAATTGGTAATGGCATCAATCAGCCCGTCCTTACTCATTGTTATAACGTTCTACGTCAAAAAAAAATTGATAGAGACCCGAACATTCCAATCTGGGTGGGAAAACTGAAACGATCGAAAAAAAAAACACCACTCACAACAAAATTGAGCGTTCCTTTGGAAAATTCGGTCATTAGGAAACTACCTGCCCAACTGACAACAAGGCCATAAAAACAAAAGAGCGAGGGAAATAGAGGTGTATACATTCTGCTCCGCGTTTTCCCGGCAGTGCTGACCTATGCACGCCTCCCACGCCTGCCGCGGCGGTGCGGTCGGGTAATGCGACTGTGCACCGGCGGCGGGCGGGGACACACCGGGACAAGCCGTGCGGTGCGCGCCCACACAAACGTGCCGCTGAAATTTATGGAATTTCGGGTGCGTTCAACTCGACCGTGTGTGTACGCGTGCAGGCGGTGCCGCAAAGACGTGACTTCACAAAAGAGGCTTCAGAGGACGAAAAAGTCAATGCATCAGTAGAAGACCGACCCACTAAAAGTTTGCTTTATTGTTTAAAATCATGCTGAAATACAATAATAATAGATGCAGGGTATAAAAAACCGTGTGTTAGCCGGCTCCGTCGAAAGTACCAAAACGTGCCGCCAATCACAGCGAAATGCAAATCCGAGATCAATTACGCGACCCGGCGAGCGAAGAGACGGTGACCGAACGGCACGTATACTCGCGCTTCATTCTGCAAATCTTCTTCAAAAGGGAAACGTACCGGAATAATTATTAATCAGGGTTTCAGGGTCACTTTGAATCAATGTTTGACAATGGATGAAGCAGTATGGTCGTCTTTGCTGAACCTTTGTGAGTTGCAAGTTGAAAGTTTAGACTGTAGAACTCAGTATTTATATACTCTCAACAGTCGACTTCTTATTACATTTCGATTTGCAAATCATGAAGACTTTGTCAAGATTCTTCAGTTTAGCTGTACCACACCAGTGGCGGAGGGTCGTTACAAACTTCAAATCTGGAATGCAAATCAGATAGAATTTCACTGTACGCGTTCCGAAACGAAATACATGTAATCAGGAGGTGTCTCTTATTGATAGACTCCAGAACGGCGAGTTTTAATCAGAAAGCCTCCTCGTCGATACACTCGACAAAAAAAGGAGGAACGAGAAAAATACCGGTTCAGGAGGAGAAGTCAACTTTCTCAAGGTCAGGATGTGTGTTCCAACTCAACAGCTCGCCTAAATGGCTGATATAATATCCATTATCTCGCAGATGATATGAAATATTATTTGTTTTGTATAAGTAAGGGCGGACAGGCAACGCTAGCAGAGATGTCTCTCTTACTCAGAGACGATTTTTCAATGTAGGAAATTGATCCGTTCATCTTTTTGACCGTAACCAAACCGGCGTTTAACAGTTTGAACAGTCTTCCAGGTGTTGAATAAGTTATTTGTGCACATGTTAAAAACAATAAATTGTTCACAAGTGCAAAAATATCTTGTTAAACTCATGCAAGTGCACAGCAACTGTGTTGGAAGTGTTTAACTAGTTGCACACTAGCTTAGAAGTGTAAACCGTATCGGACACTCACTTAACGTACATGATGCCAACTTTCTTTGTGAAAGCGGCAACCCCTAGAACAGTTCGGGCAGTGCAAGTAAGTGTACCTTAACAGTGTATACACAGGCGTGGCTTCCTCTTATGAAAGAAAAAACATTCTGAGCTAATAGTCGATGAAAAGATGATGGCAGATTTATAGAAGTGCACTCTATGCACATGGCACCATGCCAACCCTCGCCAATCCGTGGTAATGTCCACCGATGTTTGTCCATTCTGGTCATACCCCTACCTCATTCCTCCAGTTCATAAGGGCGTTCCCTGAAAAGGGTTGCGTGAGATATGTTATTTTCTGTCCTTTTACATTTACAAGTGAAAATACGAAAACAAAAGAATTCGTCATTAGAACTAATTATTAGTTAATTACGGGACGATCGATAAATATTAGCTGTGGTAACGGATATTAAGTTGTCAGATCCAAGAAATGGTTAGAAAAAGCACGTAGCTGCTCAAGCCAATTCGTGGTTTTGCTTTTAGAACGAATGCGTTAGATCAAGCACCGAACAGCTTGCTCTGGCAACTTAATCTTTGTTCTGACAACAAATTATTAAATACGTCAACAATTTTTCGAACGATTGTCCCGAAATTAACTAATATTTAGTTCTGACGACCAATTCATTTTTTCCGTGAACTGGAGTTTTTAACTAGAGTAACGTGGTGTTCAGCACTTGCATGTGCACGTCAGTTGCACACTTTATTCATCGGTGTACAGTGTGATACTCATTAGTACGACACCCTATGCACGCACTAACTTCACAACAGACCCCATCACGGACTCCTGCAACGACAAGAATTATGGCGCCTGCATCGCTAAGGGTAGGCCAGCCCGCCAAGCAGCTGTGTGGAGCCTGCGGCCCACCCAGCGCATTATAACGAGCAGCGGCTTACACGGGCGTCTGGGCTCTCATCTCTGGGGCGACACGATGACTCGCAAATATGACCAATACGGAGGGAGGAGGGAGTTCGGGAAAGCCCTGCTCACAGGAGAGCATGAGAGCATTCCCTGTACTGGTCTCGCTCTCCTGAGACCTCGCAGTTGCGGAACGAACCTTTCTTCCGCTGGCTGGCGATGGGCCAGAACCTTGAGTTGTTTTGTAATAAGTTCGCGGCGGACGATAGGAGGGAAAAAAATCAAGGCCCTTGTAAACCGACCAAAACGCCTTCCCTTCTGCGGGAGACAGCTTTACGGCTAAGTCCTCGTCGCGCCGCCGCCGCTGCGGGGAGAGAACAAGGGCTGCAGAGGATGAACACGGCGCGGCACGGCCAGCACCGCACAGGGCCACGAGCTCGGATTGGTCACTGTCACCGCTCGTATGAATCACGGATGCCACCCCCTCTCCGACAACCCGGACAACCCCCACTCCCTCTCCCTATCCCCAAAGGCTCACCACTGCTCACCACACCGCCAATATCGCTCCCCTCCGTCCGCAACCCCCCCCCCCCCTAAAGGCCACAACAGATGCGCCGTACCGGTGAAAGGGGATGAAGATGAAATGCGTGAAATGCTGTCCGTAAGCGTGGTAGAGAGAGCCCCATCATCTGTTACTCGTGCGGGGGGGAAGGCTTCTGTCTAGATGCGAGTTATTCGGCTTATTGTCCAGCGCTGCAACACTACTATACAGTTCGTGACACTACTAAAGAGCACTGGTTGATAATGGTTCGCTCAATCGCCTTCTGCTCGTTCGCCGTGCACTCGGGCGTCACACGACGGAAATTTTCCCGCGATCGCGATCAGAATACACGTACATCATTCCCAACTCTCGACGATAGAACACTCAATGGCTTTTCCGTCTCAAAGAAACTCTACTGAAATAGATTAGAATTGACATTGACATATCCATATCCAGCTGCGTCGAGATGCAGTGAAGACTGTAGTATTAAGCACAGAGAGAGGATTATGTTGATGCTCAACCGGTCAAAGTGCTGCAATATCGTAATGGGACTCTCGGGCCGGACCTGAGAGGGAGAGAGGGAGAGAGAGAGAGAGAGAGAGGCCCTGGTCGCGTCTCGCGGTCAAGGTTAAGCTTTAGGACACGGGCGCGGGTCGTCGGGAGATGTATGTCCCATTCCGGTGGCATCCCGATGCTTTCCGCCGCTTTCAGTCGTGCCTTCAGATGTGCCTCTCCTGTTTACAAAACATCCGCAAGCTTGTTTGTCACGGCCTCGGTCAAATTTAATTCCGGCAAATCGGTTTGATGAGAAATGCCATCTATTTTTGAGAAGGGTTCTTGAGCGCGTGGCGGCGGTGGCGGCGAGGCGCCAGGGCCTGCCAGGCCAGCACGTGGCCAGCCAGAACTGTCTGCGGGCGAGTTCGGAAGGGACCGCGACGAGATTTAATGGCAGTAGAGAACGTAGTGGTGAAGGAAAAACGTCGTTCTGTATCAGTCTATATTTCTTGATCGCAAACACACGAGGTGGACTAAAAAGAAGAAGAAAAAGAAAACTACCAAATCCAACAGAAATCTAGAAGTTTGCTTTACAAATTTGTCATCCGGGCACTTTGCGAGAGTGATACTCCGACTTGACACAACGCCGCCGCGAGAAACTGAGCCGTGCTCGGCGCGTTGATGTTGTCAATTTGCTTGGGGTCGTAAACAGTCCCTGATGAAGTTGAAACGGCGCAGCTCGACTTGGTTAATTCTCTCGTCATCAATAATGCCTTAGGGCTGAGCCGGACGGCTGCCGACGCGAGGGTAGGAGGGTGCTGACCCCGCTGACACCGGTTAAAAATAGTCGCAACTAGTTTGAGTAGCCCAGGGCTCAGTCTGGTAAACAAATCATCAATGGCTAATTTTGACACTAAAAAATAAGTTCAAAACTAGGTTTTGAGAAGCAAAAAAAAACAAAAAAAACGCGGTTTTAGGGTGCAGTTGGTGTCATTATGTTACTTAATAGGCAGTTTTTCCTTAATGAGATCCCAACTGTCATGGTTATAAAAGTTTAATGAAAATCAAAAATAAACCAAAAATCAAAATGACCTTTTTGTCATTGATGATTTTGTTCGAGCTGTCGAAAATTGCGCAAATCTATTGGTAAAACTAGAGTCAAACGGCACCGCGTCTATTTGACGTGGCTGAGTCTGTTCAACGCCTCCAACTTCTTTACCACTGCCACTCCACCTCCACCCTTAAGCTCGATTGTTGGAAAGAGTGTCTGCCGCCGCCCTGCTCCTCTCCTCTCCCGGTGCAAACAGCGGGGGCGGGCTTTTTAAAATGCAGAGAAGGAATGCAGCGGGAATAATCCCGCGACGCTCCTCGACGCCGCGCCCCAACCATACCGCCCACTCCTCCTCGAGATACATAACGGCTTGCTCATCCCGTCCTTA